CTCTAATAAATTTGTTAGTCTCTAAGGTGCCACAAGTACTCCTGTTCTTCTTTTTGCAAATATTTAGGAATGATTAGTGTGCATTAGGTGCATAAGTAAAGCATGGCTGCAATGCAAGGCCTATAGGCTGAGGCCTGTAAGATTTTAGCTTAGTCAGACTAGGCCATAAGCTTAAGAATGCTTGACATGAGTGGGTGATCTAGGAATAACCCTAGGCCAGTAAGGTCACAAAATTACTGTAAAAGATGTGCCAATAGGTAATGTTACAGAAAACTAGATTGCAATAAACCACATTGCATTATCCAAGATCACAAGACACCTTACTGCAACATCATGGAATGCCCTGCCCTGCCTGCAGGATACATATTGTGCATAGATGCTAATAAGAAACAAGAAACTTATGAAAAATGGGGCACCCCAATATTCATGGGGTATGGAAGTACAGAAAAGGAAAAGAGGGTTGAAACCCTCCTGCATATGCATAAGGTGTTTGATGTGGTCAGAAAAACAATACAAAAGAGGTTTCCTAGTTGTGTAAAAGTCAGAAGACCCCATGGGAAATCCCAGCAGGAACCATTCTTTTTCTATGATCACCTGATGAGAGATCCATGTGATCTTAGAATATCTTTGAGGATGTACGACTACAGTCTTAGTAATTGCATGGGTTTTTGTAGGATTTACATATGCATGGGTAATTGTAACTTTACTTATTGCTTTAATAAAACTTGTAGTACAGTTAAGACTTTCTACTTGTGATTGTGTCTGTGGTCACTATCCTCAGACTTTGTTTGTTCCTGGAGTCTCCAAATTTGAGAAAAGCACCAGAGGTGACTTTCACTGTGTTCATTCAGTCTGCTGAACCCATCGTAGTTTATACTAAATTACTACATTCAATCTAAAAAAAAGCTACAGAGGCATGAGGTTGATCCAGTTTGTGCCACAGGTGTTCTTCTGATGTAGTTCAGTGAGTCACAGAGATCTTCATGGTTGGTGCAGAAGGAAAAAGTGTGATGTATCTAACACATTTTGCAAGTGTGAGGATTTATTTTGCCAGATATTTAACTCATTTTCTCAGCTTATAAATAACCACAAAATGATGCATGTTATGACATCCTGTAGAAAAGTACATTAAGAATGCACTGTCACAAAATTTGTGAAACAATTATTTTTAAAAGCCTCTACAATTAATATATAAAAACATTCATGCTTGTACAGTAGCATAATGGATTTTACTCTCTACAGGTGACATGATCAGATACCTTTAACAATGTCAATACAAAATGTAGCAACATTTATCCACTAAAGGGTAACATGAACCTACATCTGAACTTGTCAAATATTCCATGTAATAAGCAGCACTGGAAAAAGAACAGACAATGTGGAAAAACTGAAAAGCAGCACTCTACAGAATTATACATTTTTCAGACAAAATATTAAAAGACCATTAGTCACCGAAGTTACATTTCTTCATGTGTTTAAACTTTGAGTAGGGAGGTAAGTTCATTAATGAAGGGCACTATTATGGCAATGTAATCAAAAACTGTACTTCCTTTGTTAAGTTTTCATCAGCACTACAGCCTTTCATTTAGCTACAAGCAGAAGCACCTTTAGCATTCTCTCTTGGCTAGATAGTCAGGAACTTTACTTCACTGACGCCATTTTTATTTTTTTTAATCACTGAGGGCACATCAATAATTTTTTCTCTAAAAGATACATTATGTTGTCTTGTTCAGAATGTAGCAGTTGGTAAATTATGCACTGGATTCCAAATTAGGCTGTAAAACATTCATCACATCATTCATTAAACTAATTACTGATATAATGAATTATTTTGGCTCAGTAAGATGACCAACATGTGCTTAACTATTATTGCAGTTAGCTGTGTCTACTTACACACATTCTGTTCAACCAGAAATAGATTTGGGGCCGAATTTTCCAAGGCAGTGAGTACCCACAGCTCTCACTCAGTGTTCCCTCTAATTTTTTAGGTCCATGTGCAGAATGAATTTTGTTATCTGCACCAATATGGAGGTGATGTGCGACACATCACCTTCATATTGGTGCAGATAACAAAATTCATGTGGTGGGGGTAGGGCCGAGGGGTTTGGAATGTGGGCGGGGGCTCAGGGCTGGGGTAGAGGGTTGGGTGCAGGGGGGTGAGGGCTCCAGCTAGGGGTGAAGGCTCTGGGGTGGGGCCAGGAATGAGGGGTTCGGGATGCAGGAGGGGGTTCAGGTCTGGGGATGACAGGTTTGGGGTGCATGCTGCCCCAGGACTGCGGTGGGGAGAGAGGACTGCCCCGAGCCCTCTCTCGCCACAGCAGCTTGGGTCTAAGGGAAGGGCTCCTCTCCCCGGCAGGCCTAGGCTGAGGGAGGGGCTCCTCTCCCTGGCAGCTCCAGCAGGCCTGGGCCAGGCCGAGGGAGGGGCTCCTCTCCCCAACAGGCCTGGGCCAGGCCGAGGGAGGGGCTCCTCTCCCCACCTGCCTGTGCGGCCTTTGAGAGGCGGCCGCGCAACTTACAAGAAACGTAGCTCCCACTAACTTCTACTGAAGTCAGGAGTTATTCTTGTGTTGAGCATCCCTGAAAATCAGTCTTAAATTCGAAAAGCTATGAGCAGAAGGGTTGGGCAGAGGGGAAGTGGCCCTTATGGTAAAATCATATTGGAGCGAAAAAGGATAAATGGAAAAGATTTTAAATATAAAGCCAGATTTTTACCTCATTTGGAAATATGAAAAATCTCATTGACTTAATGAACTTCAGTGGTTACTCTTGACTTTCACCACCATGCACAAGTTCAGAATCTGGCTCAAAAACATGATTTCAATCAAATCTATCTTTATTCTTTGAAAATTTCTGCCATTCCTGCCCAAAGCCTTTCCAAAAAAAGGCCTTCAAAAGTGAATGAATCTTAAACAGTTCCCTTGTTTGGGGTTTTTCACCATTAAAAGCCCATTCTTGCTTTTTATAAAGAAGAAAGCTTTTCTCACCAAAAATGCTTTGCATACTCAATATGATCTTGAGTTACACATGGTCAATTCCTCTGACTTTCCAGTTCTCTGAACCAGCTATATGTCAAAAAAAGTACCAAGGAAATAGCCTTAAATCAAACTAACAATTTTTCAAGCAGCATTTTTCTGTCTTTGCCTCCATGTAAATTTAGATCATTATCAATGGAAATATTTTTTCATCAGTTGGTGTGTACGGTGAAATCAATGTTTATCGACATTTACCAATAAAAAAACTAATTCTTCCAAACCTACCTATATCTAACACGCCAGTAGGATACATACATCAAACTGCACAATTAATGGGCTGATGAATCATGCTCCTTGAGCAGTTCCAGTCAGTGTAATTTTACATACTAATGCATCTTTAAAAGGTCTAGCTTTTTTCAATTAAATACACAAGGGAAGCAAAAGCCACACTTGCTTGGTTTGAACATCCAAAACACTTAAAGCTTTAAATAAATAAGTTCTAAGCACATAAGTTAGCCTGATACAGTGGTATTCACCTTCAAAGAGCTTTAGAAACATTGTCTAATTATTCTTAACAACAAAATAGGTAGGTAACCATTATTAAAAATCATGGTTTCCTCAGTGAGATTTTAAAAAACAAAACAAAAACAGTGCTAGGAATACATAGTTATCACATAGCCTTGAACAAGAATCACAAAAATCCCTACTTTCCAAATCAGTAGAAAACAGTTCATGATTTGCTAAAGAAACAGAATAAGCAAAGGACAAGTTCTCAGCATATACTCTTGCTTCCCCCCCCATATTTTATTCAAACAGAATTGAGAGGGTTCAAAATTTGTGATTTCACAAACCACTGTTAAACCTGTCCCTTGCAGAGATGCAATATGTTCTATGGCCAAATTTCATTTAAGAGTGCTTTATGTCTATTTAACTTAAATCAGTGAGGAATCACCCACGTAAGGGGGAGGAGGAATATTTAATTAAACAAACAGATTTAATTAGATTGGTTGGACTTTTTGGGTAGACCAAGCCTTAAGAAAGGCATATTAAAATGGCCAAGTGGAGAAGGCGTTTCAGTAGAGCTTCAAATGGAGGTTTCATGAGGGTTTGAAGCTCCAAAGTGAGGTTCCAAGGCAGAAGAGGAGATTCAGGTTGAGACTTAAGGCTGGATATTACTTTGGAGAAATGGGAGCAACTACATAGTTATAAAACCTGGTATCCTGGAAAGATCGAATGCACTCAAGGCTGAGACTTGACCCTATCAGACAACTGGAAGTGATCTCTTTACTAAAATTGCTGAGAAGATATTCTAGAGCTGACTTTCAGGAGCCTGAAGAGGATCCAAACCATATTCTTGGCACCAGAATTAAGACACTTTCCCATGCATTCTTGTAGAAAATTTTAAGATTTTATGGATTTTAGTTAAATATCAATTAATTCTCAGAACATCCATATGAAGAGAGAGTCATCTATTCAGCCTCCAGACAGAAGGCTTCAGAATGACTGGGTGGGGTGTGGCATGTGCAGAAAAATGCCCTGTGAAGAGGGCAGGATGCCATGTGAAGAAGTCTTGTGAATGCCATGTGAAGAAGTCTTGGGAACCAAGGACTTCTGGCAAGAATCATTGTGGCATCCCTCCCCCCACGCACATCTCTTCCTGGCTACCTAAGCAATGAAAGACAAGTGCCAGACCACTGGAATGAAAGAAGCGTCTACCTTCCAAACCTGAACACTGGGGAAATCAAAGCAAAATTATGGCAGTTTAACTTTGAAATGAAAAGCCAGCAAGTGTTGAAGCTGATACATATGCTGCCATAAAGTTAGGTCAGGTCTGCATGTAATGGAGCCAAGGGAGACTGGAATGAAATGCAGTTACAGATGGTCAACAAAGGGAAGGCTGAGAATGGGATCCAGGAGTACAAATCCATAGAATTATGAAATTCCTGATAGAAATAAATTGCATAATTATACATTTCAAAGAAATTGCCAGAGATGTCCGGAGACATGGGTGGATGGGCTCTCTTTTTATGGAATGGTATAGAAACACAAAAAATAAATAAAACAAACACTTTTGCCTGGGAGATCAGGAATAAAGGGCCTGCAGCTCCACTAGAGAAAGAGTTAAAAGGAGGAGTTTTAAGAAGTAGCTTTTAGAGGAAGCCTGAAGGGCTACTGAAAAAGTCTACGCACCACAGGTTCCCTACTTTTCCCCAACCTGCTCATTGCAGAAGTCTCCTCAGTGACTTTAGCATGAGTGTTCAGGCCCCTCACCCCCCACATTAGACAGTAACATGCCCAAGCTGTCCACCTCAGTGCAACCAGGCCACTCATTGCCTCTGGAAACCCAGTTTAAAATGAAAAAAAGGCAAATAAAAGTAATCTGACCAATCCACCGCACATTTAGTAGCCTTACCTGTGATAATTCTTGAAATAGTTAACACTTTGTTTTCTAATGGATTCTTGCAAAACTTCTGACTTACTGCCACAAAATTCTTCCCCAACTTGCATCAACCTATTGTAACAAAAGACATTTTAGACGTTGTTATCCATTCAATTAGTTTTAACAATACTGAAGGAAACAACTATTACTTGAATGCTACTGTTTCAGCTGGAATTCCGTATCTCACCTATAAGCACACAAACCATGCTCATCCATCACCATAGTATTTGAACATCTAACAAACGAAGATCATCACCACGCAATACCAGGCCTATATATTGTCTAATTTCTTCTATTGCATATTATGGCATTTTATAAACACTCAGGGCCAGACAGCCACAAGCAATCCAAGTGTCTGCTTGGGATCCTATGGTCCAATGCAAGCTCTATAGCCCGTGACCTGAACCCATCTCTCCATACCATTCTCACTGTCCAAAAAAGGGGCAGCACACCCTGACCACCAGCACCACAACCCCAAATATAGAAGCAGGAATAAAAGGGAGCTATGCCCAGCTTCTCACACTTTTGGCTCCAGGTTTGGGGAGCCACTATGTAGGCTTTTAGAGGTACCACAACTGTAATGTTAGGGCTACAGAAAATTGCTATGAACAGCCAGGCAGATTCATAGGCCTAGCCCAGCAGCACTCACACAGAACCTAAGGGGGCATGGGGACAGAAAGATGAATCAGCCATTTTTTACAACCCCCCCCCAATCTCAAAGTTGGCCAGGTACTGAAATGGCTCAAGGACTTTTTTGGCCAAGGATCATCAGAGTACTACAGCTCCCTTTCCATCACACCCACTATGTCTGCAGGGTAGCCCGGAAGAGCAGTTGGCTTAGAACAACTTGACACTAGTCATGAATTACCTTGCGTGCAGGGAGTCCTTTGGTGCCCTATTAACTACTCTTTGCATCACCAGAACAGTGTGAAGTGGATGGAAATTGGGGCCACGATGTAGTCCCTATTATGCTAATTTATCATGTTATCTTATGCTAATTCAGGCCTGTCATGCAGATGGAGCAAATGGCCTTATTTGCCCCATCAATATACCTGCTAATGATATCTAGTACAAAGATAAAGTCATCATATTTGAAGTTAGACATGTCTGTTCCCAGCAGATACGTTTTCACTTTCAGCTGCACATCCTATAAAACACAAACATTTCAAAGTTAGTATTGAATCCTTACTAAATTTATGTGCATATTGTGAGTTTTTATATAGTAGCAGTGATTACTCTGGAGTTCAAAATGAATGGCAGTGAGTTCACTAGCATGTTTTGTTGATTTGTTTAGATGTCTGACCACTCTGAACAGCAGTTTAGGGCAGTCTTCTAGAGAAACAAGGTTTGTTGACCTGACATTTTCATTAGCATATGTGATCTTTCTTTGGCTTTCACATCACATCATTAGTTCACTAGTCAAAAATTACTTTCAGTAATGCAGTATCAATCCAAAACAACATGAGATGCCAAGACTGTTGTTGATAATGGTTTAAAGAATGCTTTGGATTATTGCCACTCTACGCAAATCTCACAAGGTTCAGAGCTTTGGCATACAAAATTTTGGGTGTTTATTAAAAACCTTTGGGCTAGTAATCAAGTTAGAACTATCATGAAAACAGGCAGGCTCACAAGATTTCCAGTTTTCCCTAAACCTTACTGACAGAATGACACAGCCCTGTATTTCAGTAGTTCCTCTTCCAGCTGATACCAGGAATGGAAGAGCTGCAAATGTACTATACTCCGCTGTATATGAACAGCTTTAAGTACCTTAAGAAAAGAATCCCTCACCTTGTTACTGATGCTCTAAAGATTATTACTCTTAACACAAGTCATACCATTTTATGATATGTGTCTTCAATGTAATGATGGGACTCATGAAAAAGTTCTATTTCATCTGTTCAAATACAAGCTTCCAAAACTGTATATAGCTACTTATACACACAGAGTATGTGCTTAAATGTCAAAAGTCTTGGTTTAAATTAAATGCAAAACTTCAGAGTTAAAACATATATATTATCCTGAATTCATACCACTGGACTTCAGCACAGCCGGTAGAAGACATAATCCCCTGATTTAAACCCTCATGAGACTTGGCAGTATTTCCTGAAATACTTGAAACTGTTCTGTTGATACCTAATGTGGTCTTTTAGTCCACTTTGACTGTTCTGTCTGTTTCTTTAAAACAAACTACCAACACTCATTTATGTTTTGTGAGTTGTTCATGTGTGTGCATTTTCTTCTTTTCATCTGGCTAGAGCTATGGATGTGAGGCTGCAGACAAGAAATGAGGTGGTCTTGGCTATTACATAATAGTCTCCCTACCACAAAAATTAGCACCACTATTGGTGCTCCTGTTGGCATTCTAAACCCAAGAACTGGCTGGGTCCAGAGACCGAGCCATCCTTTTCACCCTATAATTTCTTAAATTTTAATTTCTACTTATCTACAGTAGTTTGATTTCTAACAAAGATCACCATAAGATTTATACTTTGTATTTGGAAAAGAGTATGTCCAAACAAACCTGCCATATTCGTGAAAGTCCATGTTCTAATTTCTTTTGTACATAGCTACGGTCAAAATTAGTCTCCTCAGCTCCAATCACATTGTTGCCATCTGAAACTGAAATTGGAAGATTATTGGAAATGCCCATACTATCTTGAAACCTAACTTTTAGCCTTAATGAATTTACTGCCTCTAAGTTGGCCTACAGGGTTGAGAATAGATAATGGCTAACTTTGTTTCTCTGTGGTTGAAAAGTCTGAACTTTTAAAGGGAATAACATCTTTAAAAAAAAAATCAGACAGAAAGTTATGTCTAGCTAAGAAAACACAATATCCCATTCCATAAAACCAACTAAGATTAAAAAGGTAACTGACATTCATGTTTCAAATGGAGGGGGGATATAGATTGCCTAATCTAAATATCAGCCACTCTCTACTAGGAAATATCCCCTAATGTAGTCTAGCTTTATAAAGAAGAACCATTAGTTGAAAAATTGTAGAAATAAGGTTTCCAACGTGTGTCCAGCAGTATACACTGGCTTAATGTCTGGAGAAAGACTGTGCAATCTTTGCTCCACTGAGCAATGCCAACTTTCTCCTATTCTTCTCTCCATGCATTCTTCCACAGTACATCTACACATGAAACAATCTTGTAATCCCAATGCATCGAGACCCAGACATTTTCTCATTCAAATCCCATCTATTCAATTCAGATTCTTGTACAGCACTCATTATCAGACTCCTATTACCACAATCCTTCTCCGGGAACTTTAAGGCAATCTTTTGGGTATCATGGGCCCAAGCCATTGAGTGACTTGAAGATAAGGTCTAAGGCCTTGAATTGGATATGGTATCTATGGAGAGCCAATAGGACAGGTCTGATGTATTCAAGCTAGCCTGTTTTCCTCAGGAGCTGGGCTGATGTATTTCATACTACTTGGACTTTGCTGAAAGTTGACTGTTTCATGAGCAGGTCGATATCACTGCTGTAGTACAGCCAGAAGTGGGGGGGGGGTGGGAAGGGCAGGAGAAGTATCTCTGAGGCTAGATCTAATCTGCCAGGAGGGAACACAGTTTACTGGCCAGCCAGTGAGGATAGATCACATCACTTGAAAATGCTACTCATATTATATATATTAGCACCAACAAGGAATTCAGGAGCACTCCTGACTTCAGACCAAAACTGTATAGTTGTGATTGCGCATCTTACACAAATAGAAACTACACTATGGCTGCGCACTCCACAGAATGCTTTCCTCTCCCATCCAGCTACCACCTCCATGTTGCTCAGATTCAAGTCAACCAATTGCTCTTAATACATAAGCTGATCTCATCTAAGCACTGGGCCAGTTTTTTGACAGTGTTATCTCTTGTGAAAGATAAGTTCCAGCAATATACAGATGACCTACTTAATATCATCTTATTAGTGCTTCAAGTTATATATGAGACTCAGCAAAGGAAGGAAAAGGGGGTGTCTGATGGAGTTGTACAGATCCCCATCACTATATTTTGGATACATCAATCCAGTAAAGACTCATACCTATTTAGTGCCTTCTGTTGGACCCGTGCCACCACCCTCAGACAAAAAAGCAGTTTCTCTTGATCAGCTGCGTTGAATATTGCAGAAGGGTTCAGGAGAAGGAGAACCAATGTCTTCTCGCCATCAAGAGATCATCCATGAGCACTATTAATGATGTTTCTATTCCAAGTCCTGGCCTGAATCCAGAATTTGTCAAGTCTAAGATATTTTTTGTATTTATAATGATGAGCTTGAAACTAATCTATGAACTCGCTAAGGAATGGGAGGTCTGATACTGGGCAATAATTAGCCACAACTGATAGGCATGGGTTTCTTCAGTACTGGCTGGCAGTACTATTGCACATTAGAACAAGGAAGGGAAAATTAAACTCACCTAATTCAGTGAGTTTATTTTGGACAGCAGAGACACCAGTTGTTGGGGACTCTTTCACTAACCAGGAAAGGCATGGATTGTATTCTTAATTTTTTTGGCCAAGTCTCTGACAGTGTCCCCAATACTTTTTTGGGGAATGAGTATATTGATCTAACAGGCATCACAGAAACTTGGTGGAATGTGGATAATCAATGGGACACTAATACCAGGGTACAAAATATATCGGAAGGACAGACTAGGTTGTACTGGTGAGGAAGTGGCACTATATGTGAAAAAAAGTGTAGAGTCAAATGAAGTAAAAGATGTTAAACGAACCAAACTAGACCATGGAATCTCTATGGATAGTAATCCCATGCTTGAAGAAGAAGAATATAGCAGTAGGGATATACTACCGACCACCTGAACCAGGATGGTGATAGTGACTATGAAATTCTCAGCAAGATTAGAGAGGCTATAAAAATCAAAAACTCAATAATAATGGGGGATTTCAACTATCCCCATATTAACTAGGTACGTTACCTCAGGACTCGATGCAAAGATACAGTTTCTTGATACTTATTGGACTGCAGCTAATCCTGGAACCCACAAGAGGAGAGGCAATTCTTGATTCAGTACTAAGTGGAGCACAGGATCTGGTCCTCCCAAGAGGTGAATATAGCTGAACCACTTGATGACCATAATATAATAAAATTTAACATCCCTGTCGGGGCGGGGGAGGGGGAAGAGACAAGACGACACCAAAGCAGACCACCACAATCGAATTTAATTTCAGAAAAGGGAACTACACAAAAATGAGGAAGTTAAACAAAAATTAAAAGATACAGAGCCAAAAGTGAAATCCCTGCAAGCTGCATCAAAATTTTTTAAAGACACCATAACAGAGGCTCAATTTAAATGTATACCACAAATTAAAACACATAGTAAGAAGACCAAAACAGTGCCACTGTGGCTGAACAACAAAGAAAAAGAAGCAGTTTACGACATCCTTTAAAAAGTGGAAGTAAAATCCTATTGAGGAAAATAGAAAGGAGCATAAATTCTGGCAAGTGAAGTGTGTAAAAATATAATTAGGAAGGCCAAAAAAGAATTTGAAGAACAGTTAGCCAAAGCCTCAAAAATTAACAGCAAAACATTTTTAAGTACATCAGAAGAAGGAAGCCTGCTAATCAACCAGTGGGGTCACTGGACTATCGAGATGCACTCAAAGATAAAGCCATTACAGAGAAACTAAATAAATTCTTTGCATCAGTTTTCACAGCTGAGGATGTGAGGGAGATTCTCAAACCTGAGTCGTTCTTTTTAGGTGATGAATCTGAGAAACTGTCCCAGATAGAAGTATCCTTAGAGGCAGTTTTGGAACAAATTGATAAATTAAACCGTAATATCACCAGGACCAGATGGTATTCACCCAAGAGTTCTGAAGGAATCCAAATGTCAAATTGCAGAACTACTAACAGTGGTATGTAACTCATTGAAATCAGCTTCTGTACCTAATTACTGGAGGATAGCTAATGCGATGCCAATTTTTAAATAAATAAATAAAAAGACTCCAGAGGCAATTCCGGCAATTACAGGCCAATACGCCTAATTTCAGTACCAGGCAAATTGGTTGAAACTATACTAAAGAACAGAATTATCAGACACATAGATGAACACGAAATGTTGGGGAAGATTCAACATGGTTTTAGTAAAGGGAAATCATGCCTCAACAATCTACTAGAATTTCTTGAGGGGGTCAACAAGCATGTGGACAAGGGTGATCCAGTGGATATAGTGTAGTTGGACTTTCAGAAGGCCTTTGACAGGGTCCCTCCTCACCAAAGGCTCTTAAGCAAAATAAGCGGTCATGGGATAAGAGGGAAAGTTCTCTCATGGATTGGTAACTGGTTAAAAGAAAGGAAACAAAGGGTAGGAATAAATGGTCAGTTTTCAAAATAGAGAGGAAAATAGTGGTATCCCCCAGGGGTCTATACTGGGACCAGTCCTGTTCAACATATTCATAAATGATCTGGAAAAAGACTGAGGTGGCAAAATTTGCAGATTATACAAAACTACTCAAGATAGTTAAGTCCCAAGCAGACTGCGAAGAGTTACATAGGTATCTCACAAAACTGGGTGACTCAGCAACAAAACGGCAGATGAAATTCAATGCTGATAACTGCAAAGTAATGCACACTGGAAAACATAATCCCAACTATACATAAAAAATGATAGGGTCTAAATTAGCTGTTACCGCTCAAGATCTTGTAGTCATAGTGGATAGTTCTCTGAAAATATCCACTCATGTGCAGCAGCAATCAAAAAAGCTAAGAGAGGGATAGATAAGAAAACAGAAAATATTATATTGCCTCTATTAAATCCGTGGTACACCCACATCTTGAATACTGCATGCAGATCTGGTCGCTCCATCTCTAAAACAATATATTGGAATTGGAAAAAGTACAGAAAAGGGCAACAAAAATGATTAGGTGTATGGAACAACTTTCCATATGAGGAGAGATTACTAGGACTGAGACTTTTCAGCTTGGAAAAGAGACGAATAAAGTGGGATATGACAGAGGTCTATAAAATCATGACGGCTGTGGAGAAAGTGAATAAGGAATGTTATTTATTCCTTCTCATAACACAAGAACTAGGGGTTACCAAATAAAATTAATATGCAGCAGGCTTAAAACAAACAAAAGGAAGTATTTCTTCACACAACGCACACTCAACCGGTAGAACTCTGCCAAAGGATGTTGTGAAGACCAAGACTATAATAGGGTTCAAAGAAGAACTAGATAAGTTCATGGAGGATAAGTCCATCAATAGCTATTAGACAGGATGGGCAGGGATGCAAAACCATGCTCTGAAGTGTCCCTAGTCTTTATTGGCTAGAAGCTGGGAATGGGCAACAGGGGATGGATCACTTGATGATTACCTCTTCTGTTAATTCCTTCCGAAGCACCTGGCATTGGCCACTGTCGGAAGACAAGATACTGAGCTAGATGGACCATTTGTCTGACCCAGTATGGCTGTTCTTAGTATTTCTGAGCATGACTGAGAGACTATAACCCAGGTCAGTGATCCGCTTCACTGTTCCAATGCTACACAGGTCCTCCCTGACCCCTCCCAATGCATCTGTTCTTTTCTGTATTGGTCCTTTGCAATGCAAAGTTCTTAAGGGGGAAAAAAGTCCGTCTTACACATCACTGACCACTTTTAT